AGCAACATTCCTGGAAGACCCGAAGGGATTCGAACAGTTTGCCGATCTTATAGTATAAGGGGGTAGGCGATCCAATACCTCTAATATTGCGATCATTTGGTAACCCATGAGTTCAGGTCTCACACTACGATTCTCTCTCTTTTTTTTTTTTTTTTTTTTTTTTTTTTTTGCTTTCTTTATCTTTCGTCGTCGTATGAGAGATTCTACGCTTTCATCTTATTCTTTTTTTTAAGCATTTCTTTCTTTGATATGCTTTGATATAACTATAATTAATACTGCACCTATAATTACTACTCTAATATAGAAAGACGAACTGGAAGATTTGTATTTGGCAATTACTTGTAAAGGTTTTGGCGCGTAATGGAGCACGTCTGGAATAACGTTGTGCTATTCATAGACTATCTATTGATTCATTACCTAACTACCGATTAAAGATTTAATATATCCCTTTCTTTTTCGTCATCGATTAAAGCTATGTCTAATAGTCATTATCAGAAATCCGAATATGAAGGTATGATCTAATATTTAAAACTTAATTCATAATAAATAAACCCCTTCCTCTTAATCGGTTAGGGAGGGGCGGGGTGTTGGAAAAAGGCGGAAAACCTTTTCGTTTCTGATATGGTAACAATAAATACTGATTGCCTTTCATTGCGGAGGAAAGCATCAAATGGTAAACCTTTCAGTTATTCCATAAAGACTGATCAAAAATCATACAAGAAAATTAACAGATGCTTCAAACATCATCAATGTATCATTCCTAGAAATCCGATGGTACTTCTATATCAACAAACATAAAGCCACTGCACACCTACATCAATATATACTAAGTTAACACATACATAACATCATCCAACTCCACAATAGGAGTTACCTATATGCTGTAATAATCAAAATTATGAAAGATCGCTTTAGACACGGTGTCAAAACATTGAGCAGTCCATGGGCGGCCGGTGATTGGCTGTCATTCCAGCCAATCAGCGACCCGGCGGTTGAAAGTTGGTACTGATCAGCCAACCAATCACTGACCAGCTATTGATACTGTAATTACTAACGATAACTAAATCGACACTTCACAATTTTAATCAAACATTTCATTATATCTTAAGCAACAGTAAGACGTTACAACGACTGTATATCTGTACACCTGGGACGGGAAGCTGAAAAAAAATACTCCTGTGTCCTCACGGGTCAAGACTTTTGAACATTTGAAAAAAACATTCCCAGGGTCGGCATGTGGCTATTTCAAATATAGATCCTGTCCTTTGATTGGCTGAACATTTTAGTCACATGCGCCTGATTGGTTAATAACATGTCTTGCCCGAGTGACGTCAGAGATTAAAGATAAGAGGCACGAGAGACTCAGTCATCTCGTCATATCTTTTCGTGGTCACAGTTTCAACTCCGAAAATTTCAGTGGCCGCATCATTATACATCAGAGCCACTATGAGTACGAATACGTTATCATACAAAATACAGAAATCACTGAAAAAAATAAAGATGAGATTCCGGTTACATAAATAAGTACATTATTCTATTACCGTCTTATACCTGTCGTAATTAAGTAAAGTAATTGTACATTAGTTTCAAAATCTAATAAATTACCACTTTCAAAAAAAAATGACCCACTTGACAAATGCTTCATCTCTTCAGATCAGGCACGAATTTTACAGAAAAAAAAATACTCGTATCATTATGATTATCATACACAAAAAAACAAACGAAAAAGAAAAGAAAAATAGAAAAAAAATGTATCCGAGAAGTCTACCAAAGAAGGAAAATAATCACAGTAAATGAACAAGTCACTTCTCCTTACTCTGACATCAATATTAACTTGGTAAAGGGCCACAAATAAAGAGACTGTATAGGCTGATCCCATATAGACATCTCGGATACATACGCACAGTTCAGTCTTACTCCTTATACACTTTCCGGGTTTATCAACACCAAAGTTTTAAACTTTGCTAATATGAAGATCTGTTCCTAAAGGTCTGGAACAATAATTGCACTTACGGAGTAAAATTCATTGTACCCTGTTAAATTCCTTGTCAGATTGTCACCAGAACAGTATCCTATCGTGAGGGTTTGTTTACAAGCTAAAAATGTGGACATGGAGATCAGCATTCCTTAACATGTCGAGAGTCTCACGTACTAATAAAAAGGAGAGTGCCACAGCATGCCTGGGAGTATCGCGAGGTGCCACGAGCATTACGTCGCCCGTGCACCGTGGGCGGGGCGTGGGCGGGGTGTGGACGCCGGGGATCAGCACACCGCGAGCCACGAATGGAGTGAGGTTCTCCGAAGTTCCCTGAAGTAACTAGCATTTGCTTTCTTTTTTCTCATTCTCTCTCATTTTTTTCAGTTTAAAAACACCACTACATATATATACATATATATATATATATATATATATATATATATATATATATATATATATATATATATATATATATATATATATATATATATATATATATATATGTATATATATCTTTCCTTATTCTTTTGTTTCTCTCCTTTTCGCACTGCGTGGGTGTTAACCTGAGGTCACGATCTATTTAGCCAAAGGCGCTGATGGCTATTCATCATAGGGTCGCGACGAGAAATACTAATGAAGGCCTTCTCTTCTCTCCTTCTGTTCGTAAGCCATTCGAACCTCATTATAGACGCCACTTGATTCGTTTACAAACACCAAACTAACACAGCCTATAAACCGTGGCGTTTTGTTCACCATTTTTATTTTTTTTTCATAAGTTGAAGACCACTTCCAGATTTTTTTGTCAAATGTTCATTACCAAGGCATGCCATAACACCTCGCAACACTACCATAACAATGAACAAACGCTGCTAGCTCTGAGAACAGTGGTAACACTGGTAACAAGTGGCAACTTCATAGTAACAAAGTATGGGACACGAAGGTTTAACAGCATCTGGGCGCAGCAAGAAAGCAGACAGCGACACTTTGTCACTTTCTTCTACTAACTTACCTTGCTACGCGAGTGACTTTCCTTGTTTTTTTTCTCTTTTCCTTTTTTTAAAGTTTCAAGAAGGTTCCATGTATCACACAAAGACTATGGCCTCCAAAATTCCATAGAAGAAAAAATAGGGCATCAGGTGAGAGACAGAGGGGGAAAAATATTTATATACCGATCATCTCTGATAAGAAGATACAGGTCAGGCAATTATCACTTGTTCATGAGCACTGTAATGAGCGATTTTTTTTTTTCTTAATCAAAGAAGGACGAATGGTCGGCTAATTTGCTCTAATCTCTGTGAACACACCCCTTGGTCACTCTTCCTGGCTCTGAACACTCAGAATACCATCGGAAACTCATCCAGTCAGCTATTTGGACGACGGGAACTCCGCCCTGTTCAAAGACCGGAGGATGACAGTTTGACACGTTCCCTCTGACTGGCTTATGATGACGAGAGCGACCAAGAGCGTGTTCAGGTGGTTGTGAAGGAGAAACTAAAGAAAAAGTCCTCAAATAGAAACGGGGTTTGGGTTTTCAGCTTGTAATATCCACGATTAAAATCCACATTTTAACGTCGGAACGTCGAACAAATGCAGTCGAGAAGAGACCCGAGAAATGTTCAATGTGAGGATCGTCCATAGCGAAACCCAGCCTCCGTTTTCTATTGTCCAATTCAATTTGTCTTCCCATTTCTGGGGACACTAAAATGAATATCTAATCAAAGATCACTACAAGAGGACCTCGCTTAGAGCAATCAAGAGGTCCGGAAAGTCCTTTACAGGCTTTTTTTTATATATTTTTATTATTCTAAGGAAAATCCTTTATATATATAATTAAATATATATATATCTTCACTGTCGGGTAACTATAATGCCAAAATAGAAACACCTCTTAGACTAAATACTTCTACGTGGACGGGCTTGTAGGCTCTTCGGAAATCGAGACCAGGGCTTGAGAGCCTGGCCTACGAAGCGTCTTGGAAATCAGCCTGACAGTTCATGGCACATTGAAGATCAAATGAAATCAGAAAGTCCTTAGCGCCAACTACTCTAAACTGGCTTTGACTCTCGCTTTGCCGTATCTGAGTTTTTTTTTTATTGTATGGAACGGGGAGGAACAAAATTATATATCTGGAGTTTTTAATCTACTTAAAAAAAAAAATCCCACCGCTGTTATTTGTTATATATTTTGTTTAGATGTTTATTTTTATCTTTTATTTTTTCTTAACCCCACCGCCGTTGTTCTTGTTTTTTTTTTGTTTTGTTTTCAGAAGAATCCTTCTTTTTTTTACCTCCCTCTTTTATTTTTCTTATCCCCTTCTTGCTTTAAAAAAAAAAATACTGCCGACTATAAAAGATTTAAAAGAAGGAGCTATGACTGACTTTAAAAAATAATAAATCTCTCTTATTATGTCTCTTTAAAGGAAAGAAAACGGAGAAGAGGGTAAGGGGGTAGGGCGGTGGAGAGGAGGGGTCGGTGGGGAGGGGTGGGGGTGGGGGTGTAACTAGTAATCAGATACACGAAATCCTTATCAATCCTTATCATTCCAGTCTTAGGTAAAGATAAGGAAAATGAAAATATGTAGGGGAAAAGTTTGAGATTTTGGAAACGTACGTTGTGTGACGGAATCAAGGAAGAGGAAGAGGTAGATAGGGAGATATATAGAGATTGATAGATAGATAGATAGTTAGATAGATAGATGAATAGACAGATAGATAGATAGAATGGGAGGGAGGAAAGGAAGGAGGGAAGTAGGGAGGGAGGGAGGGAGGGAGGGAGGGAGGGAGGGAGGGAGGGAGGGAGCGAGGGAGGGAGGGAGGGAGGGAAGGGGGGAGGGAGAGGGAGAGAGAGAGAGAGAGAGTGAGAGAGAGAGAGAGAGAGAGAGAGAGAGAGAGAGAGAGAGAGAGAGAGAGAGAGAGAGAGAGAGAGAGAGAGAGAGAGAGAGAGGAGGAGGGAGGGAGGGAGGGAAAAAGGGAGGGAGGGAGTTAGGGAGGGAGGAGAGAGAGAGAGAGAGAGAGAGAGAGAGAGAGAGAGAGAGAGAGAGATACAGACTGACTGACTGACTGGCAGACAGGCAGACAGACAGACAGACAGACAGACAAATAGATAGACAGACGGACGGACGGACGGACAAACAGGAGCAGACAAAGAAAGAAAGAGAAAACAAAGATAGAAAAGGGAAAAAGAAAGAGAGATGGGGGAATAAGAACAAAGCAGAGAAAAGAGACACCTAGAGAGAAAGAAGAGAGAGAAAATTAGATTCCAGAATTCCTAGCAGCACAAAGACCGCAATATTCCAGGATTCTCGCTATATTCCCAGTCAGATAAATATACGTTTCTTAGAAGGAAAACAATCGTCTTATAAAAGATCATTTCTATTCATTAAATAGAAAATCGAGTTGACGAGACTGATCTTGGAACCGTGATATGGTATCGGCGTGAGAAAAAGCGCTTGGAAATTAGTGTAAAATCGAAAAAAAAAAACATGGACAATCTGCTAAACGACAAAATATGGATAAACCAGCATGCCTGATCACTAAGTAGAAAACCGAACATTTCAGCGTAAGGCCTACGCCGAAATCACGACCTGGAATGTCTCTCTCGGAGCCGACGAGGGCGAAGGGCGGCCGGGGACGCCGAAGGGCCTGGCTCGGGGGGACGGCCCTCGGTCTCGCGGGCTGCGGGGCGCGGGAGGTCGAGGCAACGAAGGACGGCCGACGGCGGCGCTCACGGCTGGTCCGCCGCAACGGGCGTGGGATGGTGGCGCGACTCCTTGACGAGCGGGAGGGGCAGGATGTCCACCTCGGGGCTCGCCTCCCTCAGGCTCTCCCGCGGAGGGGGGCGCTGCTGGAGGGCGGCGACCAGGCTGTTGCGGGCGGCGAGGGCGGGGAGGGTGTAGAAGGCCATGAAGCCCTGCGGCGGGATGAGAGGCGGCGTTGGGTCGTCCTCAGAGCGCTGCTGGTGCTGCTGCTCCATCACGAGCCCCTTCGTCAGGCTCAGCAGGCTCGAGGACACCTGCCACGAGTTGTCGCCGCCGGGCAGAGGGCTGTTGCAGCTGCTGTTGCTGCTGCTGGTGGTCGTGGTTGTGGCAGTGGTCGTCTTGGTGGCGGACGACGTGGTCTTGCCCCTGAGGAGGGCGTCGAGCACGCTGCCCTGGAACGGCGGCGTGGCGGGCAGCTCGAGCGCGGGCTGGGCCACGGCGGGCGACGACGAGCGGTCGGTGGCGGGCGGCGTGCGGGCGCCAACGCTGCCGCTGCTCTTGGCCGCCGCCTCCTGGAAGCGGCGGATCATGTGCGACGCGTAGAACGAGTCCTGCTGGTAGCTGGCGAGGAAGGGCGGGACCATCGGGGCGCTATTCCACAGCGAGAACGGGTTCGCCAGGATCGGGTTGCTGGCCAAGGGGCTCGGCGACATGGGCGCGGAGGAGAGCGGCGTCGACGAGATCGGGGGGAAGGGCGGGTAGGAGGCCGAGTCGCCGTCGACGCGCGCCTTCTTGGTCACGGGCGTGATCTCCAGCGCCTCGCTCGCTTTGCTCTTCTCGTCCTCCGTGAGATCGATTGTGGTGGCGGCGACGGCGGCGGTGGTGGTGGTGGTGGTGTCCGCCGTGGCCTTCGCAGGCTCCTTCTTGGCCTTGGCCAGCGGAGAGGAGCAGCCGCTGGTGGGCGTGGCGCTCTTGTTCTTGCCGCGGCTCAGGTGTCGCTCCTTGACCTTGTACTCGAGGGTGGAGTGAGGGACGCCGTAGAAGCTGCCCGCCCTGTGCACGCTCATCTCGCCGCTCTGCACCGCCTGCACGGCCTTCAGCAGGTTGTCGCGGTCGTAGTTGCGGTACTTGCCTCGCTTGGGGCGGGAGCCCTTCCCGCCGCTGGTCGTGGAGGCCGCCGCGCCCTTCTTGGCCGCCAGCTCGCGCTTCTCCCCGTTGAGCTTGGCGTCGGCCGCCGCCGTGAAAGACAAGGGCTGCTGCAGCTTCCCCGCCGCCGAGCTGCTGTTCCCCGCCAGCGCCGAGTCCTTCGCCGGCGGCAGCTCGCACCCTAACTTTTGCCCAATCATTTGAGCAATCATTTCCTTCAGGTTGGGATTAGACAAGGAGGAGATCAGTGGCTGACTAGAGTGATTGGAATCCGTGGACGCGGGTTCTGAGTCCCCCTTCTGGAGGCCGTTGCAGGAGAGGGAATAGGACGGCACGTTGAGGTCGAAGCTTTCATCCCTCGCGTCGTCGGCGCCGGCGGCGGGAGGCTCCGTCGAGCCGTTCAGTCTGGACTTGCTTCTCTGCAGCTCTTCGTTGTAGCGCTCCTCGACCACCTTCTTGATGAAGTCGCTTAGCTGAGGGTAGAAGGAGATGCTACTCAGAAACTCCGTCGACACTTCCTTATTGTCTTTGTTGAGGGCAAGCTTAGGGATATTCTCCATCAGGTACTTGAGCGCCGACTCCACCACTCTCTTCTCGTCCCCGCCGCCCAGGCCCTTCCGGCTCATCTCCTCCAGCTTCTCCGCCATCTTGTTCTTGAGCAGCGCTCTGAAGGACTCC